AGTATAACCACAAAAGTCAAGTGGGGAGAAATTTGGAATCAGACATACCTTATTTGAAGAATAGGGAAGAATGTGAAGAAAACCACATAAATATTAGTAATGATAGTCACGTTCCTAACTAAGATTCAAATACAACAAATCTTCCTTTCTTCCCCAAATATAAGACAATTTACAGTTGGGCTATATTTGTTTGGTCCCCTATTTGGATGCAATGTTGTCAAATGCTTGAAACCTAAGTAATCAAATGCCAATGAAGTTACATGACTAATGTAGGGCCAGAAATATGTCAAACCTTCAAGTTTCAGCTACTCCTACCAACTACTGCTCTGCAAAATAACTTCTTTTATCACAGTTACTTTCCCAAGCATACAATATGAATAATACATGACAATGTGCATACAGTGAGACCCATGGTTGGTGGAGGACCAATGATGTCACACATGCTTGAGGGATTCATTTGGCTGTATCAAAATTGCTCATCTCAAAAAAGGATTCCTTCACTTTTTATAAAAGCAAAATCTATAAGGGTCAGTTTTAATATACAATTCTACAGAACTTTATGTAACAAATACAACAGAGTTCGCCAGAAACCTCCAAAACGTGCAGCTGTCACACAAAACAAAAGCCTAAAATACTTATTTTCAACTTACTTTGTGTCTATGTCTGAGTTCTGCAGCTCTCATTATTTCTTGGAAACTCTGATTATCTTCACTTGTGTGAGAATTCAGGTACACATCCAGTGTAGTCTTTGCCTCCTCTATATAAATAAAAACAACAACAGACATCACTATTATTATAACACAAACATCTATAAAGGAAATAAATTAATGCATGAATCTGCTTCCTTACACTATAACATAACATTAGTTTCTCTTTAGAATACATCTTTTGTGTTCAGAACTTCAATCCACTGTTACTACGCGAATTTAGGGGTTCCCAAAATGTCACAAAATCATACAAAAAAACACTTTCATTAATGTGTTTATGATAAACTTGTGGTTGTAACAAATGGAATATGTTGGAATGAGCTGTCATCACTTGCCACCTCTCTTCTAAAACACCTAATCTCTTTGCTCTTCTTTGCAATTATACCACTTGACCACAAGTTTCCCTCCTGTACACTGATTCACAACCACAAACTGCATGCTGAGTATTGAAACTGTCTGATTTTTTAGAATCAATGAGCAAGTGCTTTAATAATTCAATTCTACCTTACTTTCTAAAGCCAAACCCACTTCTGTTCAAAGCTCAAATCATTCAAAATCTGAGTAATATTACAACTTTCAAGAATTCTAGGTCATTTTCATTTTACTCTTATAAAAAAGTCCAAGAGTCTCATTACGTTTGTCAAAATCCTGCGAAGACTTATCCTGCTCTGTAAAGGTGCCATCTTTCCCCTCTAACTGTGACTTGTCTGGCTCATCTTCCGCATCAGGATGGTCATCTTCCCGTCTAGCATCCAATGGTGTCTCAAACGTTGCAGGGCTAGCATCTGAAATGCACAAGGATTCAAACATTAGAAAGACACTTATTGGGACAGTACCACAAGCATATTTAAACAAATTATGTTATGAAGCATTATAAAGGTTAGACCATACATTTATATTGAAACTAAAGTTTAACTTCAAAGCAGCATCACTGCAATTTTTATAACTGTCACTACATCCTAGTATATACAGGGACAATACCTTAAAACAGGTCAATACTGGTTACTTCCATGTAATTCCCAATGCATCATATTTACACAACTATCCTATCATTTAATCCTATATAAACCATCTGCTGATGAAGAGCCATTAAATGAACCAATGACTACACAATTCCTCATTACATACTATCACATAAAGACACAAAAAGGGCCTTCTGAATTGTACTTACATCTCTCTGTTGGTGGACGTTTCCCAGAACTATATTTTGCGTAGATTTCTCTCAGTTTTTCCACATCATTTCTTTCCACCGCTTCTAAATATGCATTCTGTGCTCGTAATTTTTCTAAATCTGGAAAGAAGTCTCTCTGAATAATTCGACCCATTTCCTACAACAAAATAAACAAACATCGTTAAATAACAAGCATACATTCACAGCCACATGCAGTCTATTTAGATGCTTCTGAACATAATATCCATTACAATCATTACTTACTCGAAGGTAGGAATCTTCATCCAGTACCTTCTTGGTTTTGATTTTCAGCCTCACTGGTGGAACTGGCTCCTTAAATATTTGCAATTTGGCCATTTGTTCCTCTACAACAAGCCCCTTATCACCAGGATTGATTATATCTTGAGGCATGACGGCTTTAATGTTATTTCGGTCAACTATAAATCACAAACACGTACAACAATATCAACGCCATAAACACCCATGACGAAATAATCAACCAATGAAATTACAAGACACTCATTGGTAAATGGTAGTAGCAAACGCAGGTAAACCAACACACAGATAAGTAACTCAATTGAATATCCCAAACCGATTTCTCGCGTTCGGCTCACTCATCGCCCTGATAATTAAGGCAGTAAGAACCTCTGAAATTTCAGTAAATTTCTACCAGCGTCTGATATTTCCGTACTCACCGCCGTGACATCCAAAAATTTCTACTCAATGATAAGAGTTGGCAACGCACGAGGCGTGTGACGTCACGAATTATCTGTGCTGCCATCTATCAGCAACTGCAAAGAACTATTAATATATCAAAGTTGTGATAACCAATGCCGGATCTCAATCGGTAACAACCGTCCAACTAGCCCACCCTCAGTAAACACCCCAAACCCTGCAATAGTAAACTTAAAACTTTGGTAGAAACTGACCAGCGTTTCAGAGTTGCAAACAATACCACAACAGAGTGTTATGAATATTGAAGAATAACACAGTAGGAAGTTCATTCAAATTACGGAATGTGATATTCAAATATCATTTAATTTAGCAGCATTTTCACAGTCAACCAATTTGTTTTAGTGTGAATATGCAAGCAATATATCATTTTATTGCTTGTTTCTAGTTATTCTGTGTAAATCCTGCCTAATGTAATTACCCTGTGGGAAATGAAGAAAGCCATTAAAATCTCAATCATGATATAGCTGGTCTTCAGATGGATATTCAGAACTGCGACCTATGAAATATACAGTGGGACATACAGATACTCAAGAAAAGAAGCAAAATAATTTAATTTTCAAACATTAATTGGTGTTGATAATGATGGTTTTATTACTTCCTCCACACAGCATTTACAATTGGTGACTTTACATGGATATAATCTGATTTTATACACTTACTTTGTATCAGTAGTTGATTAAGCATTGAGTGGGGTACGTACAGAAAACACTAAATGAAGAAATATATATACACACACACATATAATAATTTTTTTAAGATCCTGCATTTCTGTCTCCCATTCTTCATTTTTAACAGTTAAACAACAAGGAGAATAAAGTGAATTACAGATCTGGAATCTAGTTACATTTGTCTTACAGTAATTACAACACATGTCTCACTAATATTTTTTCTTGTCTTAACTGATCACAACAGCAAATCACAATGTGTAGGATCATTTGGTTTAAGACCACATGACTACATTTAAGCTAAAACTGGACTTACTTTAACACTGATTTCATTACTTAATTATAATCATCTAAAAGAAGAAGAAAAAGTATTTTTTAATGTTGCTTTCTTAATTCTCTCACTTCCTGAATATGAATTTCTTAAACTGTGGCTCAGCTATGCAATTACTGATACATTAAGATAATGTCTGACAAACACTGAATTCAGTTTAACTGACTGGATGTGACAATATTGCATCCCAGAATCTTGTTTGGTTCCAGTCATGAGGAAACATAATTTCATGATTTCCAAAGAAAGTGTAAAAAATCTTTCACTTATAGTCAAAAATTTGTTAGAAACAAAAAATACTTATTTCAAACTTGAACCAAGAGAACATATTTGATTAGTTTGATAAATGTTTTCCAGCTAATAAATTATTTAAAATTTTGAAACATCAACAGTTCTGAAAAGTAAACTTAATAAAAATGTACCAATGATTAAGTAAGATCACTGTTTGGAAACTAAAGCAAGATATTAAAAACAAACACAAAATCTAACTCCTTTAGTATTTGACTCTTATCTGTAATGTTTACTGTTATAGCCATCATAAATTATACCTGTTTGCTGTTGTTGTTAATTCTTGCATATTTTTGAAATCCACTGCAGCATACATTAAAATGATGTGTTACTTTTAGTATGGGTTTGGAGCCAGTTTAATTTGTCCTGGTTGGTGAATTCCTGGTGATGCTAGAGAGGATTGTGTCATTGACTAAAGCTGTGGACCAGTTCTTAGTAGTTGTGATCTTTTATGAACAATCCCTGGTCTCCAGCTTGTCCCTGTACGCTGCCTGCCTGGTATTGACCTTTGGCAGCCAGTCCATTAGCCTGAAACCGTAAGAAAGTTATCAAACATACTGTGCGCTCTAATATTCACAATTCTTCACCAAACCATTTTGGCCCAAACTGATTACACTTTTTATTCTCATTTAATTCCCCACTAACAACACTCAATATATTTTGTAGAGCTTCATATCAGTGTCCATATATGCTCAATATTTATGATTTAATACATTTGACACTTGAAGCAATACTGTTGGCTATATTTGATTCAATAAATGTATGAATACATGGCAGATACAAGCACTGTTTATGTACTGCAAAGAACAGCAGATTTCTGTAATTTCTGCCATCATTCAAGGAAGTGTCTTTCAATGACATGTAGTGGAAGATATTAAGTTGTTCTTATCTCTAAGATACATAGTTTAAAGCCCACATTTCTTGAATTTGATCAATACACGAATAAATAAAATAATGTATAAATAAGAACTGTGATCATGTCTGAAGGATATCTGAGTATTGCGCTCTAAAAGGTGGGAAACATCTATATTTTGTAAATATTTAAGATAGTTTTACAATCAAATGTCCAATATTACCGATAATTCTGCATGGCCAAACATGAAGAATTATACAGTGTTTAAAGCAAAGCATGTGTGAGACAGGAAAACAAGAACATGAACACCAAGTATTAAGTCAACCCAGTCTCCTGTCATTAACTGTCATCACTGCAAAAATTCCACTTGGAAGATTTGGTGATCATATCTCACCTGTGTGTCTGCTTTCTCCATATAATGAAAGTAACTTCCCAGTCTAAAATATTTTCAGTATACTTACCATAACGGTTCTTTTCCTTTTAGCAATGAAAAGCATAACACAATATTATTAACACCTATCCTCAGTAACTTAAAATTCTGTTATCCTAAGGATGGTCCATGAATCTAACTGAGCGACACAAATCAGTCAAAATCATTGCAATTTATATGTATATCTTAATTCAGTGACATTGTTTCACATGGAACTCATGACTGTCCCTGGGGCCAATTCAGCCTCCTATCCAAACTGTACTCAAGTTCTTTCCTCAGGGGTAAAGTGGATGGGGCATGCAGTAAGCCATTCACCTGTATCCAGTGACAAGGGTAAGAATGTGTGGAGCTATACCTCCACTTTGCATGATGCTAATCTTAGTTAAGAACCAGGGACAACTTCATCCAAACTTTACTTTGGGTTTATTCATTCAATTATCTGAGTCATTTCCTTTTCAGTGGAAATATGGGGCTAGCTTCTTGAGTTTATTATTGGTTTATTTAATAATGCCTTCCCAACTGTAAAGATTATACTGTAAAACAGTGAATGTAAGGATAAATGTAAACAATAAATTTGCTAGGAGGTGAGAAGCAGCAGCAATGATCAGTTGTGTACACCCAGCCATGTTCCGCCAAGACTAAGAAAAACCATAGGATAGTCTCTGCAAGCAGAGATTCAAGTCTGTGAGACCCTCCAAACAGAAGCAGGAGTGGCCTAAGGTTCAATTAATTTTTAAATTAAAATGGTAGAGGTCAGTATTCTGCATTTATATGAAGTCAGACACTAGGATATTATGATGTGATATGAAGTAATGTTCTGACTCACACAACTGTAGATTCAAAGTCTGAAAAGGCTTTGATGGTAAGAAACTGTGATCTATGGACCATGCTTACACTAAACAAGAAAGATTTACAAACCATGAGTTCTAGAGGAGGAAAGTCAGTGCAAACTAGTGATGATCTAGTAAGAGTGATTTTTGACAAAGTTGGAATCAACTGCAGCGATGTTCTTGACAGATCCAGCCACATATTTGGCTTGACAAGCCAATCCATTAGCCTGCAAGATACACAGCAACAAACATGCTTTCAACAACACACAACAAACAAGTGCATGTCAGATATACAAGAGGAGTGAAACTGATTAGTTCAGTGTCATGCTATAATAATAAATAATATTTGAGCAAGCTGAAAACCATCATAAAAATTAATTACAACTATAATATATTCTTAATATTTAAATCTGATTTGTTGCCAAGCTTCCAATACTTGAGTATATAGTACAGATTCTCAAGTACAGTGACCAACTACTTCTGTAATACAAAAAAGTTTCAGTAACCAGATATAAGATGTCTCATTCCAATCTTGGCATTCTGCTTATTCTGCACACCCTTAATACACTCTATGGCTAAACACACTTTACACGTTTAATGACAGAAGCATCAAATATATTTTGGAATACCCACAACAAAATTATATGTGAAACTGTACAAAGCTGCATGAATGTCAAAAAGTTTACTTCATGAACCACAGAAGTAGTTAGTAGATACATCTTTACAGAAGTTTCTGAGATCAATTTGAGACATTCAGTTTGAAATATTTTAATTTTAACAGTTTTATAGTATTGTGAGAAGAGAAAATAAAGCTGATGCCAAGGGATTAATACAAAGCCACAACACTACTTTTAGAAGTTAATAGTTTATTTGTGTGCAGACAATAAAATCAGTCATACGCTAGTCTTACTAAATACTGGCAAGCACTACATTAAGAAATAAAGCCAAAATACAAGGCAATGTAATAACAAAAACTGATCAGCTGAAGGCACATGCTAAATTGACTGCACATATAATGACTGTATTTTAAATTTAATACAAAATGTTAGTTAAATAAATTTATGATGGTAACCACATCACTGCTGACCCACAGTTGCAAGACATTCTGTACATAAGTGACTGTCCCTTACTACAATGCATAATTATCCCATATCTAAGTGACTATGACACAATGACTTGTAAAATCAACACATATCCAAGACTGCCCTAACATTTCTTGCAAACTGAATACCAGGAACAATTCTGCAATTTTCTGTTCAGCTAGCAATTTTTATTCAGTGTTTATGTGCACAAAGCACATTTTTAAACTTAATGAAATAATGCAAGCAACTAACTGGCTAACAAACTTAAATTAACTCTTAAGAAGTCAACAGGAAAAATACTGCTTAAGTGCCATGTCAATTATATCAATCCGACATATATTTGCCATTTTGATTTGTTTCCTCCTCATGGCAATTGTGGAAATCTATTCCAGTGGTAACAAGTTAAATAAATATTCCACACCTAAATACAGAATAACAATCATCCTAATAATTATATCCTAATATTTAAGTAACAAAATTTAAAATGACTTCCCATCTACATTTTGGAATAACTGTGTCCATCTTCTAATGTTGCAAAGAACAAATATTTACAGTCATTATGTGGGCAATTCCAGTGTTTCTACAGTGCAATCAAGCTAGTCTTACCTTTAATATGGTTGTAAGGGTTTTATGTACAAGAATAGGAAAACACTTGCAGCAAGGTGTTGAATGTATGTTACTGACCTTGGCTCGCTTGATGAGTTCACTCTGTGCAGCCTTCACATTGTCCGGCTTCCCTCCCCATGCTCGAAGCACTGATGCCTGCACACAGCATACAAATATATGGCATACAACACAAAACAATTACCTAGTTTTCTTTTAACTTCTCTTTGGCAATAACTTCCTCCAATTAACTTAAAATTCAGATTACAAAAAATAGAACAGTACAGTCATTAGGTAAAAGTTTTCTTTATTTCTACGCCGCACAGTTTTGTGGGTTTATATTACAAACCCAACCAGAGATTCTTTTCTGGATCACATGCCTTTCTTTCACATTGTGATTTCTTCCTAATGAATCAGATTATTCCACAAATCTTATAGTCACTTTCCAGAATTGTCTTTTATTCAATGGGCTGGAGAGCTGACCCATTGCAGAACTCCCAATAGTAACAATGAGGAAAGGTGATTAGTGATCACATAGAACACACAATTATGCTAGGGAGCATCCGAAAACACAACTCAGACTGAAAGCAAAATTCTCATAATGGCCATGCCCACTACAGCTCATCCTGAAGTTGGAAGCTGTGAAACATCCTTAAATGTTAGCAAACCAGCCCACCACAGTCTCATGTCATTACTAAAATATAATACGTCTCACCTAATCATCATGAAAGCCTGAACACTTTCCAGCAATGTTTCATTAGCAACTTCTTATGCACAATCTAAATATTTCAGTAATGTGATTCTATAATGTCTTGACAGTGATGATGATCAACAGATATATCGGACAGAACCTACCAGTGTAAGAACACAGCCTCCTCCAAGAAGACCTACCTGCAAGGCACGTCCATAACTGAAGGTGAGGGGCCAGGGTTTCTTGCCACTGTACTTGTTGATAGCATCAAGGTTGACAGAAGCTTCCTCTTCAGACTGCCCACCAGACAGAAATGTGATACCTGAAAGATATGGGTCATAGAGATATTATATGCTGTTAAGCAGCTGCGAGTACAGAATATTCCATTTAAAATAAAACTATAACTACTACACATGAACACTTTCACATGCAAAGTGATAAAACCAAACTCAAAACTAGAGTACAGCTTTTCACTTGTTCACCTATGCAGAGATGAACAACAATGATACCTGCTACAGCAGCTGGCACGGTCCTGTTTAGAGCTGTCACAGTGGCAGCTGCAATATCCTGGGCAGTATACTTGGTGGTATTTGATTGACCAGCAGTCACCATGTTTGGCTTCAACAGTGTGCCTTCCAGGAACACATGGTGGTCATTTAAGGCCTTGTATACTGCAGCCAGGACAGTTTCAGTGACTTTCTGTGCACGATCAAGGTCATGATCTCCATCAGGCAAAACCTGTGAAATAATAAGAAGACAGAAGTTAGACACCTTTATCTCCCAGAAGACAGTCATCTTCATACTCATCACTGTAAGATACATACTTAGTTCCAGAGCACTTTCCATTTTTTACAAAGTTATGTATAATATTTTATTACAATAAAAATCATCTACAAATATTTTTATTTTTTACAACAAACATATTTCAGCTCTTTAAACCAACGTGATAAAGCAAAAATTATTTCAAACACAACAGAAATAATCTCACTTAAAATATATACAGTGGGTTAAGATGGGATAACTCATTTTCAAATCCTCATCCAGAATAGTTAAAGCTGTTAGCTTCTATGAACACATTACCTCAGGTTCTACAATGGGCACAATACGATTTGCCTGGCAGATAGAAGCATAGCGTGCCAGAACGTTGGCATTCTCCAGAATGGCCTGATATGATGGAGTGTTATGCTTGATCTTCAGCACACAGCGCCACTTGGCAAAGTGGCAGCCATCTTTCTTGTACTGTGCACAATGCTGGGCCAGATCATCCAGTCCTACAACACAGAGCAGTCTGGTTCTCTTCAAGAGCATAACTAGTATTTCATTTTCAGGGTGACAGGTGCACAAAACTCTCACCAGGAAAGTGAAAAAAGATTAGAAGGGTTTGGATTTGATTTATTTTTAAGAATTTAATTATAGTGCTGCAAAAGTAAAGACGATATAATATTATTAAGATAAGAAAATTATTATTAAAACTGAGTGAGCAAGGGAGTCAAATAAGACTGTCATGACCTTTTCAAGAAATAATCACAGAATTTGCCTGGAGGAACTGATGAAAATCACAAAAGTTTCAGTCAGTCAGACAGTGACATGGTCAACTGAATTTCTCTCAGACATAAGACTACAGCACTAATTCTGCATCAGCCTGAAGGTGTAATACAGCATTTTTTAAACAACAATTGTTTTAAAACATTCCATAAAGACATGCAGAAAACTAATATTATGGAATATGACATGAAAGATGAGATTAAGTGACAATTTAGCAAAAAAGCACAAATTAGACTGGTATATTACATTCCGACATCTTTTCTGTAAGATATATGCTCATGCAGTAGCTGTCAATAAGGTATATTAAACTATTTCCTTAGCACACACTTCAAAGAAGATCCTGTAGTAGGAACCTAAAAATTATCCATTTTCCTTGGAGGTTACAAACCAAAAACCCTGTATGCATTTCATACTTTCTGCTTTCTGTATCCATGCACAATGCCCCGCTCCTCTCAATCTTCCTGGTTTAACCACTTTAACAATGCTAGGCCCAGCTCTCCGCTGCGTCGTTACATTTATTCCTGTTATTTAATTTCCTACAGATCCAAATATTCTGCTCAGCACTTTGTAAACGTAAATGCTGAAAGAAACTAAATTTGTACCTTGTGTGGTGCATTCATCCTCAGATCCAAAGAGAGGAACAACACCCTTATCAACTTTGATGCCGGGGATGATTCCCTTCTGTTTCAGCAGTTCCACAAATGGTGTTCCATCATCAGCCTTCTGGTACAGCGTCTCATGGAAAAGAATCACGCCAGAGACGTTCTCTGCCACCACCTTGTCCGTAGTAAACAAGAGCTGAAAAAAAAGCAACGGAGATCTTTCATCTTATGTAAAACTCAAACACCAACTAAGGTACAAAAACTTGTGTTTGTGTACTGGGTTACTTAACAGCATACCAACTGCAGAGTGTAGTGAAAAAGGAACGACAATATTAATATAAAACGAAAACTGGTGGGACAAGGGAAACAACTGATTGTGGTCTCTTTTAGGGTATTACCCCTATACATTCGTGGAGTGACTGAGAATAAATAGGAAAAACAGAATTTCCCATGTCAGATGTGAGATATAAAACACAAGACCAGACACAAATAAAGCAGAAGTATACAGACATCAGTTAAGCATAAGGGCAAATAACTAAGTAAAATAATGATGAACTTGTTACCTATGACACGGTTAGATAAAAAAAAGTTCAACTTAATCCTCATGGCAGCATACCTGTCTGTAGTGGCGACGGTTTTCATCGGTGTTCTCTATGCCTATGTCAGCAAAACGCTTGCCAATGGTAGCAGTAGATTCATCAGCAGCAAGAATGCCCTTTCCAGGTGCTACAATTGCATTGGCAATCTTGGACAGCTCCTCCTGCAGAGCGGGTGAAGGGTAGTTGAAGTATGTAGTCATTTTTGACACTGGATTTTACAATAATAGATCTGAAATGACAAAATATTTAATTGTTAATCTATTATGTCTCTGTTTCTGTAGCTTCCAACAGCTCAATTTTAAACAATGCTGAATTACTTATATTGAATGACCTAGGTGTAAGGGAAAGGTGTTAACCAACTTCAATATTCTCTTATTCATGCACCTCCATTCTTTTAGATATACAACATTTTTAGGGTTCAGTAATGGGCTTTCTTTGGCATGGTAATAACAATTTTATAATGCAAATTAATAGGTATCATAAACCTCATTAACAATCAAATACATTAATTTAAAAAATAAATGATTGCGGAATTACAAGGTTTTTATAACTTTAACGCCAAATCCTTCGGAACACCAACGTACCGATCAAGTTCGCTTAAGCGGTAACTCTTCTCCATTATCGTGTGGAGGTAACATGCCCGGCTCGGATATCGGCCGGACCACGTACCATCTGACTGAGGTTCTTCGTGGTTTTTCTTAACACCTCCAGGCAAATGCAAACATTGTTACCTTGATATAAGTAATGACAACCCCCAACCCAATAATTTTAATATTCACCGAACGCCATCACCACCTAATATCATCCGACGCTAAAAAACACCGCAGTTGATATAGAATCGTTAATATTTTAAGACGAATGCATCTAGAACAATAAACACAATTCATTCAGCAAATGCTTCAATAGTTGTTCCCATGTGATGTAACACGAACTCCAGCATGTGCCTCCATCTACTGAATCGTACGTCATTTAACGACGTTGTTTCAAATTCGGAGGTTAATAAAATGGAATAAGAGACAGAATTAATGAATGTTGAGAAGGTGCGGATTTAGAAGGAGATGGTAGTGACCTTTTTTAACTTCTGACTTCACCTAGAAAGACTGAGGAAAATAGAGTACTAAGGCACTACAGCCGCATATCTGGCAACCAAGTGGAGATTCTAGCGGCTACTTTTTTAATACCAGTACACCAACCAGTTCGGGAGTGTTCTGAGAATGAGTTCATTGTATTGCTGATTTTCTGCCAGTGTTTTTGCAGTCAGCTCCCACATCATACCAATGAGGCTTCAGTAGTTAGAAGACTGGCTTTCTAGTATTGCATTCAATGAAGAATGCAGCCTTCCTGGGTTATTGCGCCGCGTAGTCTGGCTTATGTCCACCAACGTTTCAGAAGTCATACTGCCTCCGTCATAAGGGCGAAACGCTGGTGGAAATCTTCCAGACTACACGGCGCAATAACCCAGAAGACTGCAATCTTCTGACTCACCGCTGTGAAAACCTCAAATCCTACATATCGCATTCAATGTTTCCGGCACTCCACATACATGTAATACAATCAGACGTTTATTGTGGAATTTTTATTCACATGTAAGAAAAGATTTTAAATAGGTGTAAAAGTATAGAGAAGTATTACTTCACTGACATTTATGTAATTGGTTTGCATGGAAATTTAATGAGACGAAGACCAGAGATGAAGGAACGGGACAGAGGGAGGCGGTGGAACTTTCCAGACCTGTGGTAAATCAATATCCACCACTGCCGCTGTTGGACGCTCCGGACGTACTGGGGAATACAAGGGCATTTATGTAGCATAACGTAGTTGGTCCATGAATCCATATTCACAAATTAAATCATTTATCCAATGATTATGAAAACTGGTATGCACTAGTTGTAACACAAACATATACAACACTTTCCACGCTACGTACGAGATAAATCGCCTTGGATCCGAGCTCTTCAGTCTTGACTGTATGGTATTTGAAGGTAAACTTCTACCAGATTACACGGCGCAACAACCCAGAAGGCAGTCATCTTCAGACTCACCGCCGTGAGAACCTCAAATCCTACATGTATGGTATTTATCAACCAAAAGAAGCCTCTCCTAGTTTCTTAACACTTCAAACAATATACTTCGAGTTTCAAAGCAATTTTCCCTATACTGTAATTTACCACAGAATTATGCATAAAATAATCTTCACAAATTATTCAGCAGAAAAATAGCAAACATCCACAAAAATGTTTTAAAATCTGTACCAACTTCATAAATAAGACTGCTGTTTCAGATGCAGGGAAGACATTGGTCCCGATATTTTCCCAGAATTATTAAGAGGAATAGCGAAAATTCCCAATCAGGAATGGCAGGTACTGAGGGCTAGATTGGAAAATAACCTCTACTAAATATAAGTTAGCATCATCACTGATATCTAATTTATAATGCGTGTTGCCGTTTGTTGAAATAATGTACCAACATCTATGGAAAAATCATGAAAATGATAGGAATTTAAGAAATCTAAGCAATGAAATGTAAAGAGTCTTTTAGAGTAGCGTTATTTACAATGTGCACGCGGACCGATCAGGAAGTGATCCAAGGTCAAGTGTACTCCTGTTACTTTCCACTTTGAGACGCATTAAACAGTCACTTCATATTCGCTTGAAATGGTAAGATGGATGAAACCTCACTAATTCAAAGTTACAGGATCTTCGTTTGAAAAAACGACAACAGTTGCTCAGCTGGTCAAGAAGACCCCTGTTTTTATGATATCCAAGGTCATTAATCTTCTCCCTATTCTGAACAAACTGAATCCAAACCAGTCAATCAAATCCGTTTTATCTAAAGACCATTTTAATGTTGCACATGCTGCAAACAAACTACAGAAGTACCCAAAATCTATCGTCACATAAACAGCCCATCCATGAAATGTAATTTTCCCACTGTAGTTTCCCCTCATCTGCATTGCAAATAAAAGTGTTTCCTCGTCTCCTTCACCTTCAGAAGCGAGAAACAAAAAATTCGTGTAAATAAACGTGACTCTACACCATTTCAATAAGTTTTACGTAGAAACTAGTCCCTGTAGCAGCGTTTAGTCTAACCCGTCACACACAGGTGCAAGAGAAGTTGCCGTTCCAGCACGGGGTAACTCCGCCAACGCAAATTCACTCACCTCATTCTCAACAGCGCTGGGCTGAGAAACTAAAATACAATTTAGACGCCTTCTCGAGTTATTTAATGACATTGAGTCAACTGAATACGTTATATCGAGTTTAATAAATTACATTTTTGAAAGAATTGTACACTAGGAACAATTTTAAATAAATCAGCGGCACTAGAGGGCGGAATCACGTTCCGGTCGCATTATCACCGGTGAAAGAGCTCCCTATTGAAAAAAGACGAGTAGGTCCGTTCTGGACGTCCTGGTAAGGGATAACAATCAGAATATCAGTTCTCCGTCTAGCACGTTGCCCACTGAGGTATCGCGGGCTCAGTATTTGACTATGAGCAATAACTTATTTAGATACGCCGGGCTACAGTTCATTTAGAATTCCTACACCTGTTGAAGCAATATTCATCACGGATATTAACGATAACAGGATCTAAAAGTTACAAGAACGTCAAGTAAAAAAACAACTTATTTAACAATCTATCAAACTTAAACAACCTTCCTATACAGGGATAATAGCAGCCTATCTACAAAAACTGACAGGCAGCGAAGAGTGGGGGGAGGGGTCAAGTCTTTATGTCACGAAGATCGATAGGTGGAACGGGGTGGTGCTATCATGTTCCTAGTGCTGGCAGGACCTGGCACGAAATCACCCACAAATCATCCAACAGAGATAGTGATGGATTAGCCGCCCCGCCTATCTAACTTCCCTCTGCCACAAGATGGTACCACAGCACGGGGTTAAGCCGTCCAAAATTAGACTCACAGTTTACTACGTTCATCGAGCTGAAGTCTGAAATTTCTGCACACGAAGACAAACATAAGAAAGCACGGGCAGTCTACACCAAGCGTTTACTATCTCAAAGGTACCAGCCTTCATATACGTTGTGACATTCAGAGCCACTGAAAATATTTCTTTAAGACGTAATTGAAATAAAGAACTAAGCTAGAGGAAAATAAATTCATTACACATTATAATATTAAATTTCTATTATTACATTGCCATAAATATTAAATTCAAATCACGGAAGTTGAAATGGTTGGACTTGTGGAACGCATGTGGAATATGATAAATGAGTATGAAATTTTGCAAATAAATTCAAAAGGAAACGAATGGAGACGTAAGCGTAGATGGATTCTATTAAAGTAAATGTTAAAGAAATATGATGTGAGGACGAGGAATGAGTTCCCACTCTCGGGCTCTTGTGAGCGCATCTTCGAGTTCTATGAAACGCGGGTAATTTCTCGAACATCTCAAGAAGAACTCTATACAACAGAGTTTACTGTTTATTATTACTTTCCTTTCTCACCACGACTTTCCGTATATAAACATCGGAGCTGGATGTTACGTGAAAAGAACAAAATGTCGTCTACGCATAATTTGTGGAGTCGATAGTAGCAACAACAATGACAATAATAATGTTAATTCTTGAGAATCCTGCCATCAGTTGGTAAGTTGTTGCACGATAATATGGAATAAAGTTTCTCACCGTCGAGAACGTTCCCTCTTTTCAGCACAAAGGTTTCAGTTCCCCGTTTTTCTAGCGGCATCCGTTTTCCGCAATGCGCCAGGTGTAGAACCAATAGGGGACATCCAAGACAGAACGTCAACCTGAGTATTTTGGGAGTCACTGCCACAAAACTGCACGGCATGTCTGTCAGCTGTCTGTATATAATAATGCACTACTGTGAGGCCTTAACCGTTTCAGGCACTTGTGCATCAACACCTAAAGTCCGGTACACGCAAGGACCATGAGATGTTGTTTTGTCTCACTTCTCATCCTACGCGAAATAACCAATGTAGTTAACAAAGCGCCTTCAAACCAAGAATGAGGCAACTAAAATCCACCACACACGTTAGCAATGTTCCCCCTTAAAAGAACGGACTGCAGGGAACACGCACGATGGTGTGTGTGTGTGTGTGTGTGTGTGTGTGTGTGTGTAACACCGCAAGAAATTAGCACCGAAAATCGATACTATGGCAATCGATTGTAATTACGGCTAACCGCAGCGAAATACATGCAAGCTCTAACAAGTTGTGCTTTAAAGCTCCGCAGTTTTCACTGTTCCCA